AGAAGCCAAAAATGTGAAAAGTTTACAGACGGACAGACAGACGGACAGACAGACGGACGGACAACGGACAAAATGTGATCAGAGATTCTGATGAAAGAACTTGATGACATGGACTGACAGAAACCATAAATATTTCCTACGAAAGTCTGCTAGTAAAAAAAACATCCACAGAGAGAGACAGTGCATTGCAGACTTAAAAACACTCGTAGCAAAATGATGGCCTAAAGACAAAAACAGTGGGCCCACAGAAGCAAAAGAGTATTGGACTTACAGAGAAGAAATTACTATTCAGAACGGACTGCTTTACAATTTGCGGGACACGGTAACAGTTACAAACGTCTATCCAAAAGTGTTTCAAACAAGGAAACAACTTACGATATGTCCAGCATCTTCCTGTGAGGTAATACAAATGTCAATAAAATTAAACAGATATTTATGTAATTTATTCATTTATTTCTTTTGAAACAAAGATTAAAGAAAATATGCTTTTCTCTTTACTAAAGATTGTTGCTGACAATAATGTTCAAGTAGGTGAGGAGGATCTTGATTGCGCTAACTTGGATCCAGATTTCGCAGATGAGCTTGAAAATACAATGCCAGAGGACGTTGTCCTGACTGATTTTACGGATGATGTTTACATTTGTTGTAGTAATGCAGGAAAATTGTTTAGATTTATACAGAAAGTTTACAAATCACTATTAAACATTCTTTTTTCCTTGTAAAATATGAATTCTACTTTTAAAATAAGTCTTTGTATAAAAGGTATACCATATGGCACTGTGAAATGATAGTGCGAGAAACCCTATCCAGACTAGAGCCAAAACTAAATGTAGTACGTTGAGTCCTCTCCACACTAGAGCCAAAACTAAATGTAGAGCAGAGCAAACACGGAAACCGAAACAACAGAGGTGGGATCAGGTGCCATGGTAGAGTGAGCATCCCCTGCTGACCGGTCACACCCGCCGTGTGCTCGTTGTCATAATCAGGATAAAACGGAAAAAAATTCGTGGTCAATTCAGTGTATAAATAATGGACCAACAATTGGTATGAAAAACGTCAGTCAGCATTTCATTCAATGATAAATTGTATTTGCTGACAAGGTCATTGTATCGACCATAGAATTTACGAAATGATGAACTCAAACGAGACCGCAGATATTCTTGTTTCATCAACTTGCTTGTCAATAATTTACCTCGTTTAAGAAATTGTTCGTACGTAGAGCATATTCTTGCATATCGAATCAACTGAGATATAAATACTCCGTATGCAGGTGATGAAGGTATATTGCTGCATAAGTAAGGGAAGTTGACGATAGAAAAGTTAAAGTCATCACGTTTATCATATAGCTTGGTTGTTAGATTACCATTAGTGTCTTTTTCAAGTAAAATATCCCAAGTATGAAGCAGAAGTGTCGGACTCTGTGGTATCTTTTATTTCAAGCTCACCAGGATATATCGTGTCAACGTAGGAAAGGAAATTATCATTATTAATTGACAATACGTCGTTGATATATCTAAATGTCGAGTTGAAGGCCACAGCAAGTGTTTTCTTCTTTTCACGTAAAAGATTTTGTATAAATTCTGCTTCATATGAATATAAAAATAAGTCTGCTAATAACGGAGCGCAATTTGTACCCATGGGAATTCCAATAGATTGTTGGAATACCTGGTCTCCAAAAACCACATAGATATTGTCAATCAGAAACTCAAGCATCTTCTTGATGTCAACTTCAGAGTACTTATGTGTACAATCAGAATCTGTTTTAACAAAATAATTTTTCAAATGACCAATGGCGAGGTCGCTGTACAGTTAAGGCAACATTTTCTATAAAAAGTCCCCGAAAACGATACAATTAATATTTAACTATTTTATTTTTCAGCAAGACACTCTAGTTAAAAAAGCTTTATGTTATCTTGAAGAGTATGTCCATCGCTATTCCCCAAGGAATTTTTGTGATCATGTGACCCTCTAAAGTCACGTGGACTCCGATTTTACGTCAACAAATGATATGTTAAATTTGACCAAAAAGTTCAAGGGCAAGGAAAACAAACAACTAACTGCACAGTGGTTTAAATTGTTCCTATGTATCTTTACTTTCGCAAAAGTGATGCTCATTCAGTTGGTTTTCCGATACATTTGAGTTATTCACCTGAAACAGTCAGTAGTATATGAAACCAGAAGTCTCTGTCGAGACTGTAGCTCTACTGGTTTGTACTTATCAAAAACCATTGCACTATTTTATGTATCTTTGTGTAGTCTACTTGTGTGCCAAGTTATTTTGAAATAGACCAAAACTGTAGAAGGAGTAGTGTTTTTAAGGAATTTCAGAGAATTCTATTTATAGTAACCATGGCAACACCTTCACCGAAATCAAAAACCCATGCACTATTCTATGTATCTTAGTGTAGTCTACTTGTGTACCAAATCAAATCTCATTGAAATCAGACCAAAACAGTAGGAGGAGGAGCGTTTTAAAGGAATTTCACAGAAAATTCTATTTTTAGTAACCATAGCAATACCGTTCATCGAAATCAAAAACCGATGCACTATTCTATGTATCTAAGTGTAGTCTACTTGTGTGCCAAGTTATACTGAAATCAGACAAAAAACTGTAGAAGGAGTAGTGTTTTAAAGGAATTTCACAGAAAATTCTATCTTTAGTAACCATGGCAACACTGTTCATCACAATCAAAAACCGATACACTGTTCTATGTATCTTAGTGTAGTCTACTTGTGTACCAAGTTATACTGAAATCAGACAAAAAACTGTAGAAGGAGTAGCGTTTTTAAGGAATTTTACAGAAAATTCTATTTTTAGTAACCATGGCAACACCGTTCGAAATCAAAAAACCCATGCACTATTCTATGTATCTTAGTGTAGTCTACTTGTGTGCCAAGTTATATTGAAATCAGACCAAAACTGTAGAAGGAGTAGCGTTTTTAAGGAATTTTACAGAAAATTCCATATTTAGTAACCATGGCAACATTGTTCATCGAAATCAAAAACCGATGCACTATTCTATGTATTTAAGTGTAGTCTACTTGTGTACCAAGTTATACTGAAATCAGACCAAAACTGTAGAAGGAGTAGCGTTTTTAAGGAATTTTACAGAAAATTCCTTTTTTTTTAGTAACCATGGCAACACCGTTCATCGAAATTAAAAACCGATGCACTATTCTATGTATCTAAGTGTAGTCTACTTGTGTGCCAAGTTATACTGAAATCAGACCAAAACTGTAGAAGGAGTAGCGTTTTTAAGGAATTTTACAGAAAATTCTATTTTTAGTAACCATGGCAACACCGTTCATCGAAATCAAAAACCGATGCACAATTCTATGTATCTAAGTGTAGTCTACTTGTGTGCCAAGTTATACTGAAATCAGACCAAAACTGTAGAAGGAGAAGTGTTTTAAACGAATTTCACAGAAAATTCTATTTTTAGTAGCCATGGCAACACCGTTCATCGAAATCAAAAACCGATGCACTATTCTAAGTATCTTAGTGTAGTCTACTTGTGTGCCAAGTTATAGTGAAATCAGACAAAAACTGTAGAAGGAGTAGTGTTTTTAAGGAATTTCATAGAAAATTCTATTTTTAGTAACCATGGCAACACCGTTCATCGAAATCAAAAACCGATGCACTATTCTATGTATCTTAGTGTAGTCTACTTGTGTGCCAAGTAATACTGAAATCAAAATAAAATTGTAGGAGGAGTAGCGTTTTGAAAAATTGTTTACAGACAGACGGACAGACAGACGGACAGACAGACAGACAGACAGACGGACGGACGGACGCCGGACGCATTACTATCACATAAGCTCTTCTGGTCTCTGACCAGTAGAGCTAAAAAGGGGTATTTTCCCAATATCATCGGAAATTATAAATTACCTTAAGGATTACAAAGAAATGAGCATCACTTTCTGAAAAATGTACAGTATAATGAATAATTTAAAATAAAAATCTACTTATTAGATTGTCGCCTTGCCCTTGAACTTTTTGATTAAAAATTTACATCTTGGTACTGTCAGTCTAAATATAGTTTTCAAACGCATCGTTGACCCAGCATGGGAGATAACTCTTCCGTACTTGATAAAGTTTGTTTACCTCGTAGATTTTAAATAACCATGCAGGCCTTTAGTTGCATAATGCGCCGGGATCTTTTTACTTAATCGAACAGTATGCATTAAACACTGGATATTACTTTCTATTTTGTGACTTCGTTCTCTATACAATGTGTGAATTAGGTATGATATAAGACGTCTTTCAGACCTTCCGCATTTCCTCGAATCAGTGTAAACACACATGCAGCTAAATGTAGGTGTAAGTTTGCCGCAGCATGTAATCTAAAACGCCGTTTGTGATTAAAAATGGGAATATTTAATTATAATAGTCAATTGATAGCCTCCATCAATAATTAATTCGATAATCATTCCCCTCTGTCACTAATGTACATACACTTGTGTACAAATTTTTTTTTTTCGCATACAAGATTATATCATGGCTTTCTTTAAAACCTTCAACTCCTATGGGATTTAAGTCATACGTTTTAAGAACTAAGACTAAGTGGAAAACATACAAATTCCTGTATTTATTAAAGGGACTACCATTTTATTCCAAAAGAGGGGGGGGGGGGGTAGATCTGAAATGTTGAAATTAAATGTGTCCCAAATAGGATAAAAAAAATTAATCTGCCCCAGACCAGTGTTCCCCCTCCTATAATTTTGTTTAGCTTGTCAGACATTTTTCAGTAGGGAGGAAAATAAATAATCTGTCTTTCATCATATTGAAAGTAAATATTAGTAGACCTGTCCTTCATTGACATGAAAAGAAATAAAAAACATAATGACTTGGTAAAACTTTCCAACTCCCCCCCCCCCCACTTCCCTTTAGAATAAAATGGTGGTCCCCTTTCTTGTTTTGAATCAATTAGAGGGGCCTTTAATCTCCTTTTTAGTTACTATTATTAAGAAAAACAAATTAACACAATGTACATGCTGATAAAAAATCTTGATGGACATTGACAGCCTGGCACCACACAAATATATGCAAGTCAAGACCATCAAATCTTAATAGCCTTTTCAACACCTGTACAGTAAGTACATGAATATGAAAAAGTCAAATTATTTTTTATGAAGAAATTTTATTTCATAAACAGCTTTTCAAATTAAGATAGACTGTACAAGGAATACTGGGGTGCTGCAATTTTTTTCCATCACTTCATGTTCTTGTGGATGAAATCAATTCTGAAAATACATGTATGATAAAATCAGGACATTCATGTAGTAACATACCATTACTAAGAGTAAATTGGTGGTTAAAATTTAATTAAATTCATATCAATGCATGGAAACATGTATAATTAAATGTTTGCAATTCTACTGCTATATATTGTTTGCCAGGAATATTGCATGGTAATTTGGTTTATGGCTAATATGGAGCATACCATTTTCCTTACATCAGGGATTAACTTGCTGCCTGATCATGAATGATTCCATTGGTCTAATTCTTTAGGAATATCTGCAACACATTATATATGCTATTGTTATGAGATTACTAAATAAAATACATTGTAAAGTAAAATCACTTTACATTTGACAAAACAATTCATGATATATTGTAAACTGTAGTGAATTAAAAGTCATATAAAAGTTAAATGGAAACAAAGCTGTATTCATTTACAAAACTTTTCTGGGAAATTAAAACCTCGGACATTTACAAAAACAAATGATTAGAATATGAAAAAAAAAACATTCTTCCATCTTTACCAAAATGAAAAATAAATATCGGCCTAATCATGCAAACAAGCATGGTCAAAAAAATTTGTAAGCTTATAAGTGTACATACCCTGTGGAGAAATTGATTCATTTTGTATTTATTTATACTTCAAGCCTGGATCCCTTGACTGCTACAATAATAAAAGTATAATATGTCATATGATTTTAAAAAATTATGTATAAATGACAGAAATTAATTGACTTAAAAATTGAAATCATACTAAAAAAAATAAATATTTTATTCACCATTAATTTAGAAATTCTAAAAATTTAAACCCATAGATCTAAAGTGGAGGTTCTTTGTTTTCATCATAATGATACAAATAATATTTGTTACATTTAGCATGTTTGTATGCCAAAACGACAACAACATTACATGTTCAGTAAATCATTGTCAACACATTGATTGCAGCAATGAAATTTCAAATTTAATTTAGTCTAAGGTTGTATTACTAATTAACACCCTTATTACACATGTCGTCTCAAAGAAAATAAGCTAATCGACTCTATATTTAGTACAATTAAATTTTTAGCAAAACAAAGTGATCAACTTTATGTGGGCTGATGGGAGGGGGGGGGGGGGCGACACACACTGCACTGCATCAGTTTTTCACTGACCGTGATAATACATCTAAATATACACGTACACACTCGCGATCGTTTTTTTCTTCGATGTTAACAGACAGAAGCATATCTACATAATGTTCAAACATGTGCATACATACCTGGGCTGAATGCACTGCAGTGATGGATCTAGGAAGCTGGTGCAGATCGTCTCACTCTTCCATTATTTTCTGTAATAATGTCCTCATATTCTCGTAATAGGGATAAACAATGCCTTGTCTCTTATCTTATCCCTAATTCTTTAAAGAAATTGTCTGATTATTGCATATAAATCCACTGCATATCTCAGCTGATGTCGCCACGTTTTTAGATGTAAATAACATTCCGTGTCATCGAGTGCAAGCGCTTGGCTGAAGCCGAATGCAGCCAAACGGCACATAAGAAATCGGATTATTTTAAAAAACAAGCCATTCTATAAAGGAGAAAATCACTGATAATTATTTATTTCGACATGGAAATATTGCCGTTTGTTACAATTTCTTGCAAATATCGGTAAATAGTTATTTTGAGCTCTATTTCCTTATAAGGATCAATCAGGGCGGAGCAACTGTCATGACGTCAAACCTCATTATGACTTCATTACCATATTTTTTTCCATGGGTTGCCTTAACCGTACGCAACTAGGTTAAGGGCTACCCAAAGGTAGAACAGTGTATGCAAAGCCTCGGGAATTCGATTATGACGTCACGGTGAAATTGTACAAATGAATCGCGGCGAATTAATAATTATTTTCTTTTTCATATACTCTTTCATACTTTGATTTCTCATAATTATTGTAAATATTAATCAATGTGTAACTTATCTTGTCAGTATAACACTAATTGAATGTAAAATCAAAGCCAAATTGATCTCGCTGTACTAACAGATATGACGTCATAGGCTAGTTTGACACGCAGTTTCTCTGTACTTGAGACGCAGATAAAGCTATACGTGGAACTGAAAATATGAAAATTAAATCTATATAAGCGTGATCTTACTATAATTGATTCATATTTTTGAATGCATTAATCAATAGCTTATAGTCTTATTTAATGGATAACTATTAGGTCTCTTATAAAGCCGCAGTCATGCACTTTTATATAGAAACGTACTACAATCATATGTAAAACCCCTCCAAAATCTCAAAAGTTCAACGATATCCGCTTGATTATAAATTATAATATTTTATACACATGTAGGTACTGTGCCTACTATTTTGAAAAGTGCTGGGAGCAAGTTGTACGCTGTCTATTTTTTCCGTAGTTTTACATTTCTTCAATGCGTATAGTATAAATGCACATACTTTATCAAAAGTCGGCTAAATTTTATATAATTCCCGGGCAGTGAGAAGTTGCTCCCAGCACTTTTCGGGATAAGAAATTTGTCTTAAATAAAACACAATCAATTTCATAGTGAAAAATTATCCGTATATCGTTGAACTTTTACGATCTTTGTATCCGTACATATTTTTTCTAATTTTAAACGTGTCACGTGACAAACAGCTGATGTACATGAAGTCGCGTTGGCCGAACTCGGTTGAGACCCCATACATACATATGTATTAGTATAGTTCCCATTAAATTAAAACTAATGCTAATAAAAAAAATATTAACATTATATTGATTTTTTCGGAATATTTTAAGGCTTATTTCCTATGGGCGGCCTTAACCTAGCTGCGTACTGCGTAAGTAAACTTACGAGTTCCTTTTTTGTTGAAGAAGTAGCTGTCAATGATATCAAAAAGCTTGCATAAGTAATAAATAATAAAAGATTGAGAATTCCAAAATTCAAAAAAGGAGGGAATTCGAAAGGCAGAAGCCTCTGTCCTTTCATAGAAAAATCCTGATTTTACTTATCTTTTACATGAAATAAAGGCTTTTAAAAGTGAAGAAACAACTGAATACCCATCGTCATGCAGTGTGAGACTTCTGCAACCGGATTCAGGTTATTCTGACAATTATAGACAGGAGATACTGGAATGTTTTCATGATTTTCATAATTGTTTTCATTGAAGTTGGAAGACTTTTCAAAGATGACTGGATAAAAAGGTATGGATTTCTTAAATTTCAAAATTCATTGCGTGCAGAGAACAGGGGAAAATACGAAGCTCACTTATGTCTAATCTTAGACAACTTGCCCAAATCTTTTTGTAATTGAAGAAAATTATGACTAAGAAAATCCATCCATCATGCAGTTTGAACTCTTGTCGGAAAATGTTAAATGATAAATGATTATATGCTTCAATTTCAAACCGCTTATACAGTAAAGATCTGTTTGAATTCCCTTTGTTTCCTTATAACAGATAAATGCAAAGTTGTGAAATCAAATTACTACATGTACTTGGAAAGAGAAGACCAAGAAGCTCAAGAAATGAATATATTTACTGAAGTGTTACAAGTTTTCTGGGCATCCTTTTTTGCTGGTGCTGATGAATCGGTTATTATAAAAAGTATAAGAGACATACTGTCTCTCGGAATTAAGCAAAGTTGCCAAGTGAAGAAGAATTCAAAATGCTCAGGTATTTTTCTAAAATAACAATTGAAAAGTTGTCATCATGTTTTGTAGTATATTTTACCAAGTTAATAAATGTTGTGGTTTTTAGGTTAACATTGCTAAATGCAAGGGGAAGTCAGTCAAATTGCATGACTTTGAAATACTGGGATGATGGTCTGAATGGGGGCATGGGTAGATCTAAAAATGTGTAAAAATGTCAACCTGCCGTGAAAACCATAACAACCATCGGAAAATTTTTCAGTTCATTAGACGAGCATATGCAGAAGATTAGTTTTAATAATATAATACGATACTAACTTAGTTGTAATCGTACACTAAAACATTAATTACTTTTAATTATATTAAACCGATTAAAAGATCTTTATATGGACTAAAGCCACTATGAACCCTAAATTAACACAAGCAGCTACGGGGCGATTATTTTTTGCCCAGGTTGTTGGGGAAAAAATAAAATAATAGCTGCCTGATCAAATCTAAAGAAGCTCTTACCGGTTATTCCCAAAAAGAAACTCGATAACCTCTCTCATTTGACATGTACATTTCTGCTATCAAAATTCTTCTTGACCAGTGCTTGATTATTATGCCTTTGGGACAGACTGAATTCCTCTCAAAACATTAACATTTGTGGCTTAATTATATGATAAAAGTTTTAACTTAATTTAACATTTTTAATAAGATACAGCTATATTTTCACACTTTTTTTGGATTATGAAATTTAAAAGACAATTAAGAAAATAAAAACAACCACTTAAATTAAAGGTAAAAAAACACATCTACCTTAATTGTAAACATTTGGCTATAGCATCTTTTTTAAAGGTCAGAGCGACCTACTTTTTGTGCGCGACATACCGTCTACCCAAGAAGTGTCAATTAAACGTTTGATAATCATAGACCTTAAAAGTATTCAAGTTATGAGCCGCGGACAGGAATGGACAGATGGACGGACATGAAGCCTATGAAATACTAGATATACGTCCTGTCTTACACGGGCGTATAAAATAACTAGGGTTGATATCAAATTTTTGTCTTGTGGTTGCTTAAAATCTGCGTTTTTCTAGACTTTTTGTAATTTCCAATATTTATTCTGAAGTGAATACATTTGTATTAACAACTTATATTTCATATATTTGCTGGACGGCATGGGAAACTGAAAGGCTACCCATGATAACATGGTCAACATTGGCGGATCCAGAAGGGGGCAGGGGTTGGGTCCGGGGATTAGAACCCCCCTTTTATTTTTAGCCAAGTTGGGGGAGAGAGGATAAAACGTTTTTCGAGATTTTATATTTGTTCGTTTTACTTTTTATTGAATAGAAAGATTCTCGCACATTTAGTTTCCTCCAATCCATTCGCTTTTATTCATTTTTATTAGAGAATGGTACAAAATATTTCACTTATTTTTATATATATATATTGTATATTTGTAACATGCAAAGTTTAATAAATGATTTTGGATTCCTGCAATCTATGATTGTGTAAGACTAAATTATATTTGTACCGTTTTATCATATCTACGTAGGTATATTGATGGAAATAACATCCGTAAATCTTTGTTTTAAAGCTCACCCGCATCCTATCCCCCCAAAAAGTTTTTTTTTTAAATTCTGAAAGAAAATTATACTCTACGAAAATGATACAAATCAATTCAATTTTGAGGCTTCTGTAGTTTATCAAATGTGTGGGTTTTTTTTGTTCTTTTGTTCGAACTAGGGGATACGCTTTTTTTTAAAGCACACAAAACAAAGATAGCAATTACTACAACGTTAGATTTTTCTATACAAGTCTGTGAAGCTTTGCTTGAGAGTTCCATTTTTGTTGAAGAAGCAGCTGTCAATGATATCAAAAAGCCTGGATTTTAATTTGTCGTGCGGAATTGTTGTGTATAAAGTTGAAAAAGCGTAAGTTTTTATGCTGTTGATTTGTGTAAAGTCTTGTGATTTCAAATTGTCCAAAAGTTCTTTAGAATTTAAGTATCCACATCTGATTTACACCACTTCTTGAATATATAGTTGTACCGTACACTTGAAGTTTTTCCTTCACTACTGTCAATATTTTAGTGAGAAGTAACGAAAGATGCTTGGTTGAACATTTACTGGAACCTGCAATGTATCTTTGTTTGTAAGGATTCTTATGAAGTTTCGGAATTCAATATATATGTTACAGTAAATATGTGTAATCAGGAATTTTACGTATTTACTGAATTTTAGGAAATACATGAAATTCCCATACTGCTTAGGAAATACATGTATTTACTGTTTTTAATTAGGAAATACATGTATTTGCTAAAATTTTCTATACTTTTTTCATGAATTTAATGACAGTGTGTTGGTGGTCTATTTTAATACTATGAATTGTTTTTATTGATGTACAGTCATTTAAATCTTTGCTCTACCTTTACCGACTAATACTCCGTGAGTAGAGTTCATTTGCTTGTTGTACATACACTTGATATAAAGCCCACAGGGTTTTGGATGGTTCACTTTCCATTTAAAATGGCTAATGAAAAGGAGAGGATTTTTACGCAGGAACTCTATACATGGTTTCAAAATGATAAGTCCGACAAGCTCTTATTACCAAAAGAAAAATTGAATGGAATTGTAGAAAGGCTTAATTTGCTGACTCTGGAACAGAATCCAAAGAAGACAAGAGAAGATTATTATCTTCTTTCAAGGTTTGTGATTTTTAAATAGATAATTGTACATTAGATTTAGTGACCAAAAATTTTGTGCTTTGTTTATAATATTATAAATATAAATTGATAAAATCTTGTAAACAGACAAAAAA